TTTTTTTTGTTATTTGTTATTAATAACAATAACTTTTTTTTGTTATTGTTATTAATAACAAAAAAATAACAAATAACTTTTTTTTCCGAAAAACCTCTAACTACGAGCGGGGAAGTTACCTTTACGTTCCACGCTAACCCGTAGCCTTGGGTCCTCAAGTCCTACTATTCGGGGGTACCTTTAGGTCCTCAAGTTCTACTATTGGGGGTATCCTTAGGTCCTCAAGTCCTACTATTGGGGGCACCCTTGGGTCCTCAATTCCTACTATTGGGGAACCCTTGCGTCCTCAACTCCTACTATTGGGAAGTACCCAAGGGGGAAACAGCGGACTTCAAGACTTCAAGACTTCAAAAGACTTCAACAGACTTCAACCGCAGTGACTTCATATTTTCACAAGACTTCAAAAGAGTTCTAAAGAGTTCTGAAGACTTCATAGGACTCCAAATGACTTCACAAGACTTTATAAGACTTCGTATGACTTCATAAGACTTCATGAGACTTCATGGGACTTCAAAAGACTTCGTTAGACTTCACAGACTTCGTGAGACTTCACGGACTTCATGAGCCTTCACGGATTTCATGAGACTTCAGAGACTTTGTAGGACTTCTTGAGACTTTATAAGACTTCATAAGACTTCACAAGACTTCATAAAACTTCAAGAGACTTCAAGAGACTTCATGAGACTTCATGAGACTTCATGAGACTTCATTAGACTTCATTAGAATTCAAGAGACTTCAAGAGACTTCATGAGGCTTTATGAGACTTCATGAGACTTCATGAGACTTCATTAGACTTCATGAGACTTCACAAGACTTCAAGAGGCAGATTCCATGCGTATCAAAAAACCTTATAGAAATTACATGAAATTTCTATAACATGCAAAAAACAAAACTTATCATATAGAGATTACAAAAGTGTTTCTTGTTTCTGAGAATTGTTTCTCGCAGTATATCCATATCTAGAATAAAGATGTGACAATGACACAAAGCGTTGATGAAATTAAAACAGAGAAAATAAACTTTACTGGTATGCGTATGTTTGATTCGATTAATCCAGCATTGGAAAACTCCTATTTTCAGGTACAAATAAATAACAAGACTAAATTTATACACAAGCAAACGACTTGTTGGTTATTGACCGACGAAGCTAGCCGTTTATCGGCTGATAGATTATCACGAGTGATAGAAATAAACAAAAAGGAATAAAATTCTTCATAAGATTGACATCGAATAAATGAAACATTTCTTATAAAAATAAACCACTTCATTCACAAAGCATTCAGTTCTTAACTATCATGTTTTCTAAGATCCAACAAACTTGAATTTTTTTCCAGTACCTTGACAAACAAACAATAAAAAGTTCACCTTTCTGCTAAAATAAGACCATCGAAAACAAGACAATTTCATTGCTTTTTTATGAATTTTCATGCACTAAATGTATTTCAAAACTTCCATGAGACTTCAAAAGACTTCAAAAGACTTCAAGAGACTTCAAGAGACTTCATAAGACTTCATGATACTGCATTAGAATTCAAGAGACTTCATGAGACTTCAAGAGACTTCATGAGACTTCGTGAGACTTCATTAGACTTCATGAGACTTCATTAGACTTCATGAGACTTCGTGAGACTTCATTAGACTTCATGAGACTTCATTAGACTTCATGAGACTTTATAAGACTTCAGAAGACTTCAGAGACTTCAAGAGACTTTATGAGAATTCATGAGAATTCATAAGACTTCAAAGAGACTTCAGAAGACTTCGAAAGACTTTCAAGATTTCATGGGACTTCACGACTGAAGTCTCTGCTGTTTCCCCCTTGGAAGTACCCTTAGGTCCTCAAGTTCTACTATTGGGGGTATCCTTAGGTCCTCAAGTCCTACTATTGGGGGCACCCTTGGGTCCTCAATTCCTACTGTTGGGGAACCCTTGCGTCCTCAACTCCTACTATTGGGAAGTACCCTTAGGTCCTCATGTTCTATTATTGGGAGGTACCCTTGAATCTTCAGGTGCTTTCACAAGGACATCTTTGAGTTCTGTGGTCCTATTGTTTTGGGCACTAGATGTCCGACATTACCGTAACTGTTACTAGGTTGTTAGTGACGGCGTATTTATTCGTTGACGATTAACAGTAAGACCGGTATTATTTTGTTACTTGATAAATATAAACCTCTCCCCCCCCCCCCCCCCCACACAATAGAAGCTCAGGGGGTGTGTCTTTGTTCCACAAGCTATAACTTGGTAACAAAGCTTGTCCTGATGCCTGTTTTTTCGTTATTTAGTAGAGAAATGTTCATTCTTTCATTTTCCATCGATTTGAATTCATTTTTTATAAAGTAAACCTCGATTTTCAATGAAGAATTCTAACCGAAGGGGTGGGCTTCTATTGTGTGGGGGTTTACTGCTTGTTTCAGTGCTATTCCCGTAACCGATGGGCTACGTGTGAACCTGGCACGGCTATAATAGTGGATAATGCCAGGGCGGCCGGAGTGGGCATCGGTAGTGATAAGGAGCAATTCATCGGATTACAGGAAGATCTCCACTGGCTATCGTATAAAGTTTCGGCAGTCTTTAATCCTGTTGCATTCTGCGTTCTCAATTCTTTTTAAGCGCTATGTTATAGAAGAACCCAGATTAAGGAAGATACTATCCGATGAAGTAGCCGCAACTTTTTCAGGACTTTCGGATTAAGAGCATTGCTATTGGATAGATTTTCTTTGCACTAGCAACTGTGCATGAGAACTCGTTGTCAGGTTAGTCTGTAGGTAGTTACGAGTAAGCACAGTTCTACATCTTCATTTTTCATGGTTGGGACAGGTGTACTCAGAAACTAACTGTCAGACAACGCGGTTCTCTTAATTACGATTACAATAGCTTATCTGATCTGCTTCGGTCATACAGCTGATTGCTTAACGTGAGCCTGGCTATCACTGCACCAGCCGGATGGTTCTGTGGGTATTAAAGTAAAAAAGCTAGCAGCCACACCCACACCCACCGGCAACATCTACATCCACACCCACATACCCACTGTCATATCTCCGTACCCACACCTACACCCATTATTCACCCTACTTCCTATATTGGGCGTTCAGGGTCTAACGCTACCTCTTTCTAGTAGTATTTGAGAACCCAAGGGTACCCTCAATAGTAGGACTTCAGAACCAATGGGCATTCCCAATAGTTGGACTTGAGGATCCAAGGGTCTCGCAACAGTAGGACTTGAGAACCTAAGGGTATCTTCCAATAGTAGGACTTCAGGACGGAACGATGCCCCCAATACGACGACTTGAGGATCCAAGGGTACCCCACGATAGTAGGACTTCAGAACCTGAGGGTACCGCTCCATAGTAGGCCTTGATGACCCAAGGATACCGCCGAATAATAGGACTTGAGGATTCAAGGGTACCCCCAATTGTAGGACTTGAGGATCCAAGGGTACCCCCATTGTAGGATTTGAGGACCTGAGGATACCCTCGAATAATAGGACTTGAGAACCTGAGGGTACCTGCCAATAGTAGGACTTGGTGATCCGAGGGTACCTCCAATAGTAAGACTTGAGGACCTAACGGTGCCCCAGAATAGTAGGACTTGAGGACCTAAGGGTACCCTCAATAGTAGAACTTGAGGACCTAAAGGTACCCCGAATAATAGGACTTGAGGACCCAAGGGCACCCCCAATAGTAGGAGTTGAGGACCTAAGGCTTAGGGGTTAGCTGGGAACGTAAAAGTAACTTCCCACTCGTAGTTAGAGATTTTTCAGAAAAAAAAGTTATTTGTTATTTTTTTGTTATTAATAACAAATAACAAAAAAAGTTATTGTTATTAATAACAATAACACAAAAAAAGTTATTGTTATTAATAACAA